GGTCCCGGCTCGGCCCGTCGTGACGGGGAGGCCCAGCAAGCTGAGAAGGTTCATCGAGCGGAGCATTACGGCGCGAAGGTTGCTGCTGCTCACGGCGATCCTGGGCATGTGCATGCTCATCGGAGACGGCATCCTCACGCCGGCCATCTCAGTCCTGTCAGCTATTGACGGACTAAGAGGGCCTTTCCCGTCTGTCAGCAAACGTACGTGATCGGCCGATGGATTTGATTCAGGGAATGGGATCGGGGATCAATTGAGCTGATCAATCATGTATGGCCATGGCCTGTGGCGTTTTGTTTTTGCAGCGACTGTCGAGGCTCTGTCGGCGGGTATCCTGATCGGTCTGTTCCTGCTGCAAAAGTACGGGACGTCCAAGGTGAGCTTCATGTTCTCGCCGATCATGGCGGCGTGGACGTTCACCACCCCGATCATCGGCATCTACAGCATCTGGCGCTACTACCCGGGCATCTTCAAGGCCATATCGCCGCACTACATCGTGCACTTCTTCATGACCAACCAGAAGCGGGGCTGGCAGCTGCTCGGCGGCACCGTGCTGTGCATCACGGGCGCCGAGGCCATGTTCGCCGACCTCGGGCACTTCAGCAAGCGGTCCATCCAGATCGCGTTCCTCTCCAGCATCTACCCGTCGCTGGTGCTCACGTACGCCGGGCAGACGGCGTACCTGATCAACCACGTGGACGACTTTGGCGACGGGTTCTACAAGTTCGTGCCGCTCCCCGTGTACTGGCCCATGTTCGTCATCGCGACGCTGGCGGCGATCGTGGCGAGCCAGTCGCTCATCTCCGCCACCTTCTCCGTGGTCAAGCAGTCGGTGGCGCTGGACTACTTCCCGCGCGTCCGTGTGGTGCACACCTCCGGGAACAAGGAAGGGGAGGTCTACTCCCCGGAGACCAACTACCTGCTGATGCTGCTGTGCGTGGGCGCCATCGTCGGCTTCGGCGACGGCAAGGACATCGGCAACGCGTTCGGCGTGGTGGTCATCCTCGTCATGCTCATCACCACCGTCCTGCTCACGCTGGTGATGCTCATCATCTGGGGCACGCACGTGCTGATGGTGGCGCTCTACTTCGTGCCCTTCCTGATCCTGGAGGGCACCTACGCGAGTGCGGTGTGCACCAAGATCACGAAGGGCGGCTGGCTGCCCTTCGCCATCTCGCTCGTGCTGGCGCTCGTCATGTTCACCTGGTACTACGGCCGGCAGCGGAAGGCGGAGTACGAGATGGCCAACAAGGTGACCCTGGAGCGGCTGGGCGAGCTGCTGGCCGGGTCCGACGTGCGCCGCGTCCCGGGGCTCTGCTTCTTCTACAGCAACATGCAGGAGTGGCGGTGGCTCACCCCGGTGCTGGCGCACTACATCAAGAACATGCGGTCGCTGCACAGGGTCACCGTCTTCGTCACGCTCCGCTACCTGCTGGTGGCCAAGGTGGACGCCAAGAGCCGCATGGCGGTCCGGCGGTTAGGTCCCCGCGGGGTGTACGGCTGCACGATCCACTACGGGTACGCCGACCCGCTGGACGAGGAGGAGGAGGACCTCGCGGGGCAGGTGGTGCGGGCGGTGCGCGAGCACATCGAGCTGGAGGCGGCGTCCTCCGCGGCGGAGGTCGAGGAGGAGGCGGCGCAGCTGGAGGAGGCGCGCGCGGCCGGCGTGGTGCACGTCAGGGGCAAGACGAGGTTCCACGTGGGCAGGGACACGGGCTTCTTCGACCGCGTGCTGCTCGGCTTCTACGAGTTCCTGCACACCACCTGCCGCTCCGCACTGCCGGCGCTCGGGATCCCGCTGCAGCAGCGCGTCGAGATCGGCATGCTCTACAAGGCCTGACGCCAGTCATGCACCTGCGGCTGTTTCTGTTGCTGTTGCAGACTTGCAGGTGAGGGTGGCTTAAGATTGAAGTTGCTTGATCTAGTAGCAAGTGAATCTATGTGCCAAGGATGGAATAAGGTCTCTGGTGTGGAAGATAAACTTCTGCTTTGTACCACCATATCATGCCACTGTGATATACTAATACTAGTTCCTAATCCTGCACTTCAAATCTTCAGTATGCTGTGGTTTTTAAATATATTACTCCTTCGTTTATAGGTCTTGTTTTTTTCTACATACACAACTTTTATTAGGTATTTAGATATTTATCTGGGTGCATAGAAAAAATTATGTACTTAGAAAAGTCAAAACGACTTATAATTTGGGACAAAGGAAGTAGTGGCCGTGCGTCAAGCAAAAATAGTCAAATCTGAACCAATATGTACAAGATTTCATAGAAAGAAGTATTGGCTCTAAACTACTAATAATTAGGTCACAATTAACAAAATACAAGCGATCATGGTTTATTATCCACGGAGACCAATCTCAATTAGTATCTAATCAAAGGCTTTAACAGAGACTCCACATTAATTCTCATTAAATATGCTAGAAAAAGATAATCCTAGAAATTGTCATAGTAATTTTTTTTTGATCGAACCGGCAAGAGAGAATATTTAATTTCATAAGAGAGAATATTTACAAGTGTACAACAGGGGTATATACAAATTGTCACAGTAATTACAAACATTTTACATTTAATTTCATAAACTATAATAATCATTGCCAATAATAACCATTTTGATCTATTCTGTTTACAAAAGTTAACACACCTATATACCATTACGAAAAAATCGTCCGGCATATGCGTACACCCTTTCCCTTTTCTTTGTCCATACGATTAGTATGCCTAGCGTACTCACGAGTATATATCACACATGCACGTAATTATCACAAATATTTTTATTTATTTATAGATTAAAATACGTCTAAATTTGCCTAAATTTCTAATACCAACCTTTCCATGCTTGAGGGGTCCAGAAAGGACAGGGAGAAGAGTAGGATAGAGGAAGAGGAATGAAAGAGCAGGGTGGGCTTAGTCGGAGATCTGTTGGTGGAAGTGTCTTGGTTGAGATACATTTTGAGCCACAAGGGCCAAGGCTGGGACAACTTACCATATATCGACGGTCTAAGAGTATTTCTAAGAGATTCTAAATTCCACACTCCATATATCTTCATGTGGCTAGTTACTCCATAGAAATTCTCTCTATATAACTTAGCACACTCCAACAGACTAGCCATATCTCACACTCCATATTGTAAGAAGAAGCAAGGAATGGAATTTTGGAGCAACACAAACATGGTACTAGTTGTCAGTGTCACATATGCTAATACAATAATGCACACAGGCCAGCCAAATTTGGCTTCCGACCTTAACGGTATAGCGCGTCAAATGGAATACCAATGCCATTCTTGCATGTTACCTAAAAATAGAAATAGCAAGTTGGATTCCAACGCTTTTGGAGATGCTCTAATCAATGAGACTCACAATCTAATCTTCTGGTCCTTTGACAACTCAACAGATAGGGTTAAAGGTATTGTTAACGTGGACTCAGTCACGAATTTGGCTGAGGGCGGACTTTTATTAGGCCAGTCTCATGTTATTAAATAAGCTGACATGTCATAGAATAGACGAAGATGATGAAAATTGTATATGATAGAAGGAGTTTTATAGGGATGAAACTTATATATTGTTTCTCAACACATGGAGCCTTAAATTAGGACATAAAGAATCTTTCATTGAAACTGTCCTTAGCTAACTAAAGGTTTATTAACATCCTTGAGTTCCAGGTCGTGACATGAGGGAAGTTTTTCTAAAAAAAATATTGAAATCAATAGGAGGGCCTTTCTTTATAATTTCGGAAATACTCCACCGTGGGTGTCCGTCCCGCGCTCGGACGAACGGACCCTACATGGCCTCACATGGTCTATGTATTTTCCCACCATATAAATATCTACTCCTATGACTCGTCAGTTGGTCAGACTTATTCTCTCCGGTTCCATCTTCTCTCTCCTCTTTCTCTCCATCGTGGAGCCTGTGACTCTCCTCCCCATCTCGAACTCACTAGCCGTGCTCGCCAGGCAGGGGTGCTCCTCGCCAGAGGTGCTGCAGGGGGTGCTTGCTGAGCAGGCCGCCGTGCTCGCCAGTTGCTCCTAGCACAGGTGCTTGCCTAGCGCTGCTCTCGGGGCCTTGCTTAGGTGCTCGCCCAGCGCAGTGCCTCCGCTGGGGCACCGGCGACGCTGCCTCTGCTAGGGCAGCCGGCGAGCTCCATGCGCCGCCACCGACCTCTGCACCGGCGTCGAGCTCCGCAACAATGAGCCTCCATTCATCCAAGCAGCAATGTGATATTGCATTGAAAAGCGTATGATGTAAACGTATGTTTGGAAGTGTTCCAGATGTTCCAGAGGTTTATTGCAAGTGTTTCACATCGATGTGCAAAAGTAGATTGGGATGTTGCACATGTTGCAATGGATATACATGTATGTTACAGGTGTAGGTTCCAAATGTTTCATCTGTTTCAGACATATGTTGCAAGTGTTTCATCTGGATGTTGCAAAAATAGATCTGAATATTATAAAAGTAGATCCGAATGCTGTAGCGGGAAACGGAACGACGTGGGCTCCCACGTGAAGCAGGCGTATGCATGCGGCGCGGGTGTCCAGACGCCGGTCTCCGTTCGGACATCGGGCGATTAATTTCGCCGGCCTCAGATTCTTCAGCTGGGCTCCTCGGCTTTGGGCCATCTGCAGTTGAGCTCAAATCTACAGGACCGTAACTTGCACAGCTGCACGGTTGCGTTAACTTTCAGGTGGTTAAGCATTAGTGACAGCAACCATCTGCCCAGTGGTACAAATGTACAATTCCTCGCCGTTTCTTGTCCCCTGGTACAACAACCCAACCCTGTTTCTGAACCGTGGTTCAAGCCCCTGAACAAACCTCTGCAGCCACCTACTCTGCTCTTGTTGGCATGAACGATGAACACTTGGTTTCCCAAATTCATCCTTGCGCATATCGTCATCAGACTCCAGTTTCCTTTTTACTACTACTACTACTACTATTTTGCGCTACAAGCAGTCACTAATTTGTAATTTTTCATCAGATGCGCGTGCTTGCACAACTCATTTAACCTCGTGTCCTCACGATGATTATCGTGCCTCTGCCAGCGGTGCGGAGCCTAGTGAAGCCGGCCACCGTCTTGCCCGATGGCGCCGGCCGGTTGCCAGCCGACAAGCGTGGGGCGCACGCGAACTCCCCCACGGGGTGCCGGACGGGGCGAGCCGGCGGCGTGAGGATCCACCGGTTAATGTCGGCGAGTGTCACGCTGCCGTCCGTGCCGCCGGGCCTCACCACGTCGAACGGGTACGCCGCCACCGTCCCGGCGGTGGAGCACGGCGCCTTCCTGCTCCTCTTGTTGCTCTCGCCGCCTTCTGCTCCTTTCTCTGCGCGCAGAGACACAGGAGATCAGTGAGACATTGTTGCTGCGGTGCGGTCTAAGTATGACAGGGTCGGGACGACGGCACCTTCCGTCGCCGAGCGCTTGGACGAGCTGTCGGCACGAGTGGTTTGGTGCTGCTGCTGGGCGCCAGCAGTGTCACTGGTCCGCGGGTCCAAGTTGCAGTGTGATGTCGACGATGCCGAACGTTGTGCTTGCGCCGGCGTCGGAGTCTTGTCCGGGGATGTCGGCAGCGTCGGCAGAATGGAGCTCAGATCGGAATGATCATCAACTGCAGAAGCACATTACCGGTACTCTGTTCTTTAAACAGAACAAGCAAAACGCCCTGAATTTGACAACCAAACTAACAAAGTGATGGAAGAGGGCCACCAGAACGTGTAGATTGAAAAAAAACTTTTTTTTAACCTAAGATAAGAACTATGCCTGCCAAGCTAAGCCAGGAGCATGATGCACAAATGATGGGTTACGAAATATGCTGCTAATCTCGGGTGGGGCCGGCCATAAATTTCACAAGCACCGTGATTATTTAATGGAGTAATCATCAAAGTTTGTCCTAGTTGTTTGGAACCGTACCACAATCATGAAATCAATGAAAATTTATAGTACCAAAGTCCTTGGAGACAGTAAAAAAGAAATGGCAGTGTAAACTAAAGCCAAAGACAGCACTTCAGAAGTTCAGACTCGAGAGCAAACCAGATTGTAAAACTCTTACATTGGGAAGAGGCGGCACTCGCCTCTTTCGGAGCGCTGCAGGAACTGAAGCCCACGGCGAGCTCCTTGTCCGAGTCCCACAGGCTCTGAAGAGGCGACATGGTATAACAAGATTTCAGCGATGGAATGAAAGCACCATAACCAGACCACAAGATTTGCTTGCATGTTAAATTTGAATTAACAGAGATGAAGCCTGAGTGCACTCACCATGAGTAGTTCATCCAGCTCCCCGGGCATCGCCGTCGCGTCCTTCTGCAACATCCAGCCGGTGGCCGCTGCTGTTGACGCCTCGGACACCGGAGACTCCATGCCTAGCACACATGGGCACAATCAACGAGTTACCGCCATGGTCCATGGACACAAGCTCCATGCAGGGAATGGAAATAAAACTGCGAGACTTACATTTGGGGACGAAGAGCTCAAGCTCTCGCGCATGGGTACCAGAATCGCCGGCGCCAGCTCCCATTGCTCCTAGACCGAAGCAGCAGAGCTGTGGATCCCATCCAAGGAGGAAGCTGCTGATGGTGCTCGCGTCGTCCAAGCTGCATGCCATGGTGTCCAAAGGCCACCACGCCTGCCTCCCGGCGTGCAGAGCGCTTTCCTGGACTGTCTGACCTGTCTCCATGGGATAGCAGTAGTGGTGGACTGTGGGGGAAGAGAAACTGGGAGTCTGAGACGGAAGCCTGAAGGTGCGCAGCTACATAGGGTCTGCCATGCGTGCTTAAATAGCTGGGCTTTTGGGAGGCCTAAAGGCGAAAGGGGTGTGTCTCAGTGTCTGTGCGTGCTCTGTTCAGGCTGCAGTGCTGCATGTCCATAGAGCACGGTTAGTCAGGGACGAGGAAAAGAAGGCTTGAAAATTTTGCAAAGGTTAAAGGGGGCAACGAGCCAACGAAAGTGGCTTTTGCTTGCTGTGACTCTTCGACCTTGTACTCTTTTTCGCTCATCGATTTATCTCTGATGGGTAGAACCCAGTTGCAAATGTTGGTCAGGTGTATATCCTAAAAGCACATTGCATTGTCCGTGGAATTGTGAATAATCCTAAAAAAAACTTACTTTTTAGATGGACTAAAAATTTCAAATACAATAAATAATATATACGTATAGGGCCTACGCAGGTATGTAAATCCCAATAGCAAATTTGACTTTATTCACAAAACCAATGAATAGGTGGCCCATGGGAACAAACATGGATAGAACCAAGAATTCACATGTTATCGCCTCCCTCTGTTTCAAAATTAATTGTCACTCTAACTTCATCACAAGTCAAATATTTCTATCTTCAACTAGCAATTCCTCTAAATTCATAAAGTTTAACAACATTTGAATTATATACTATTAAAGTATGTCTCATGGTGAATCTAAAAGCATAAATCTTATAATGACAAGCTATATATGGATTTCTCAAAGATAGAAATATCTGGCTTTAGACAAAATACGAATAACAACTAAAATGAAATAGAATTATAGAAGGAGTATCAGTGTTCTTATTGTTGGATTATCAAGGTTCTCATGAAAAAAATGTGCTTCACTGTACCATTTCTCCTTTTTTTTTGTTGGCACCTCCGTTATAATGTTTCCATCTGTTGGGTAATGATTGAAGAGAAATTTCAGAAGAAACTTAGATGTTGGAAAGGAAAACTTCTATCGTTAGGTGGCAGGCTAGTCTTCATTAATTCTGTTATGAGTAGCTTAGCAATGTACATGTTATCATTTTTTGAGGTCCCCAAGGGAGTTCTTCAAAAACTTGATTCCTACCTGTCAAGATTTTTTTGGCAATGCGATGAGCACAAGAAAAAAATATAGACTCACTAAATGGAGTATATTGTGCCGGGCAAAGGACTTTGGGGGTCCAAAACCTAACATCCAAAATAAGTGTCTTCTAAGCAAATGGTTGTTTAAATTAATTAATGAAGACGGTACATGGCAAAGCCTTCTGAAAACAAGTACTTGTCCAACAAAACCTTGTAATGGAGGGGGCAACCAAAAAAGCCAACATGTAAACACTGAGCCCAACTCAACTCGTTAGATTCCTTGTGGTTACCATCCGGGTTAATTCATTGACTTGACAAATGCTCACAATTTCTTATATTTATCCTAGGATCTAAGGCACATTTTTTAGTGGTAAGCGGTATGCCCATTGATGGCATGACGTCTAGGATGACTTTGTAAATCTTGAGTGCTGACCTAGTCCGGAGATGTTTATTGTGAGGATTTTATTATCTAGTTGTGTTTTACATGATTTTCTTATCTAGAAGATGTTAGTAGGTATATATGATAGAAATTTTATATAATCTTTCTCTTAATATAAATAAAAATTATAAAGTTATTCTAGTAATTTTTTTGTTGTCAACTGTTAGGGGGCATGGCCCTGCTAGCCCCCCTTAGCTCCGCTATTGTGACTAGGTATACGCGGGGTAGTGTCGTGAGGACAGTTCTCCTACACTTTGCAAGACTTGTATTAGTCAGGCGTATGTAGGAGCTCAATGCCGCTTTAAGAAGGTTGCATCGATAGTCTACAATATGTAAAGCCCATGGATCTCAAACACAGGATTTGTAGATCTGAACTTCAACAACATCTCTTTCATGAGGTACAACACATCTAAAGCTCCAGTTGAGAGGGAGGTTCTTCGAAAGATTGTTGCTGGACTAGTTTGGGCAGTGGCAGAGGAGACAGCAAAGCCAGCGGCCCACTTTGCCACGGCCTAGGAACAGATTGTTGGTGCAAATAGATACACTAAGTAGGCCATGGACATCGTATAATTTTTTTTCGATAGAAATTAGGGGAGGGGGCGCGTGCCCCCGTCCCTCTGCTGTTGCTTACCTTTCAATATGTTATATGTATTTTTTACAAGTTGTACCATTCTGGTTGTCTTTGGATGTCTTTCAAGAAATAATAGATTTACCAACAGTAAAGAAATTGCCATATTGACCCTGTTGTCAATTGCCAATGATCCTAAAAAGACGTGTATGTCCTCCGAGGTAAATATAACAAGTTGAAAATAATATTTTTGATATAAAAAAACGTACATTTGGAATACCAAATTTTTTCAAGACAACCAATGTGTAAGTACATAGTACATACTTTTTTATAGCCAACGGTAATACTATTATTCAACCCATCGACACCGCCACCACAATCTCCATCATCTCCCAAGCCGCTGGAGTAGTAGCACCATGAGAAGAGCCAGAAATAGTGAGTCCAGATTGCCATTCAACCATTCAGGTATTTTAATATTAGGGTCCAGCTTTTGCCGTGGGAGCCACATTTAAGACTGTGTATGGTAAGGATCTAGATTCTTGTAGAAACATTTTGGATCTAGATTCTCTCAGAAAATATTTCTATGACGAATTAGAATAATTTTGTGAGAACGTTTGGCTGGTAGGGTGGATTCTGATTTTGTAATCATATTTTTCTATTAAAAGTTAGATAAACAAAATTATGAGAAAAATAGAACTTTTTTTTAACAAAGAACAACTTAAATACAACCCATTTTTATCTTTTGCACTTAATTCTTTGCAAATCCATGAGGAAAGTATGTGAGATGAGAACAATAATTTGTGTGAAACTACTTTGTAGCCAATTCACCCACATAAGACAAAATGGAGAATCGTTTCCCTTGGTTTTTGCAATTAAAAAGCTAACGTAGTATTTGTTTGGTGGCGATTCTTGTGTTCCGAAGCAAAATCGGAACGGTTCCGAGGTGCCAAATACACCCTACATCTTGTTTCACCAATCTACATGAAGTAACCTATTGTTATATCGAGTCATCCCAAAAACATTTCAACCAATTTTGCACAAAATTTTAAGCGTGAACACGAAATTTTTAATTTTAAGATCTAGCGTTTGACGTGGATCCCACATAGATCTAGTCTCCTTAACCTGCACAGAGATATAAGCTGTTATGTTGAGTCATTTTTAGCAAGTTAATTTCACTAAAATTTTACGCTGTGAATACAAGGTTTTCATTTTAGGGGTCCAGTTTTGACGTGGAACTCACATGTATATATAACATATATATATGTAAAATAGTAATACTTCATCCTAAAAAATATAAGGTATCTGAAAGGATCTTTGGATGGCTAGGGGTTGAATAGCCTAGTAAGCACAAACACTAGGCAAGAGATTAGTAACAAACGAGGTATTAGTACCTCTAGCTATATTGTTTTGCAAACCTAGGGTGATAAACACCTACACAAATTCTAATGCTCAAGAGATCAACTAAGCTATGTCACTGGAATTGGTAAACTAGCTAGGTTTGCTCCCTAGAATGACAAGTCCTATAATTCTACTCTAGGAATTGAACAACACAAAGAAATGCACAAGAGTAGAGTGATCAATACCACACAAAAGATGACACATGATATATCCCCATGGTTCAGTAACTTGTTTGTTACCTATGTCCACATTGAGGTGGGTCCTTGGATCATCGCTCCTCTATTAAGTCTACAACCCCACAAGGTTGGCTCCTACGTGAGAACTTGATCGTGAGCCAGCTAGATCAATAGTCACTCTCAAAACTTAGATACCACTAGAGTGATTTTTTGCCTCTCTAGAGGGATGAACCTAGTAGCCCCACATATTCACTTCCAGAGCACATTGCAATCTTCAATTGAGTGTTTCAATGGAGTACAGTTGCCCCAAGCCATCTAGGTGGCAACAACGACCAGGAGTAACAAGCAAACCCATAGCAAAATGACCTTTAGGGCTACTCAATGCAATCTCTCAAAAGAAAATGCACTTGGATCAATCCAACCTCACCAAGAATGCAATCACTAGCAAGGAAATGTGAGTGGAGGTGTTTCTTGAGCTCTAATGTGAGTATGTATCAGCAAGGGAGTCCAAGAATTCTCTAATGCCCGGCCACATACTCTATTTATAGCCCCTCTCAAGAAATTAGCAATTGTCAACTTGATGGGATGAAATCGGTCACCGAAGAGCTCCATGGTCACCGACGTTCCCACACCAGAGCTTTCCAATAGTAACATCAATGGTTAGTTTGGATTAGCCGTTAAACTCCGGTGTGCTCTCTGGTGAACCACCAGAAAGCTTCGATGCTTGTTATCTCATGAAGTGCACTGAAAAGATAGTATCTGGACTAACTCTCCGATGCGCAACTCTAGAGCCACACCAGAGAGCTCAAGTGAGATTTTTTATTTTTCTCACTGCCTGATAGCTACTGTTCCAATTCTCTAGTGCTCACAACTCTGGTGGCACTAGAAGATATTGTGCATGCGATGATGACAATGGCTCGCCTAAAAAAACTATAGCTAAGCTCCGATGCCACCACTTTGGTGTGCACTGAAGAGCTCTAGTGATGTTCGAACTAATACAAACTACTATAAAAAAACTTCGGTGCTAGGAATTCCGGTGGGCACCAGAGGGCTCTGGTGAGTGTAAAACTGCACCATTGAGCTCCTTTTCTCAAACCTTTTCAAATGGCTAACTCCAATAGGTCTCCCATAGGATGACCAATACCTTTAGCACAGAGTTAGCATTTTCCAAACATTTTTCACAGTTTTTTTTCTCATCACACTACTCGATGCTAATGCATATGGAAGTTAAATCACTCGAGTGACACAAGATAACCATAATTGTGAACCAATTTTCCCCTCTTTATAGTACAA